AATCAATCTGACTGGATGATCTGGTGAACTGGAAAGTGTCTTGAGATGACATGTGTTGTAAATTGGCGCTATAGAAATAAAATAAATGTAATTGAATTAAAGCTTCTGGACATGGGTGCAGAGAGCTTAGCTCCTGTAACACAGCTGCACCTAGTTTTAATACAGTGAATAGATTGAATGATAGCAGGGAGGACAGCCTCCTAGACTCACCAAGGTGACCCTTCTCCATCAGCGGCTCTACGTTGTAGATTTTGACTCCAGTCTCCATTGCGCAGCAGAAACAGCCTGGAATGATAAACAGCAAAAGTTTGCCGTATTTATCGGTTCTGCATATTTTCTGTCAGGACCTTCAGCTTTTTACACTGAGGATCCTCAAAGCATCACAGTTGATAGTTTTAAAAACAATGAAAAGGTTTTCTAGAAGCAAAGAGTGTTTGAGTATAAAAAACTGTTTCAAGAGACAGTTGAAACAAAAACAGTGTCTTCAGTCAGAGGCTTCTACAGGTCCGCTGTAAGACCGACTGCTACAGGAGATCCTTCCTACCAACACTAAATATTGTTTTTTCAATTAATAATCAGATAGCCAAAGATTTTTTTAAAGCCGATTCTCAGGGAGAACATGCAAACTCCATGCAGAAAGACCCCGGGAATCGAACCCAGAACCTTCTTGCTGCAAAGCAGCAGTGCTACCCACTGATCCACTGAGCAGGCCTTTCCCAAACACTTTGAATAGTAATATAATTATTTCTCTGTGGATTTTGGATTTTAAGAGTCACGCCTGACATAAACACAGAGACTCAGGTTCATGCTAGATGACCAAATCTACATTGTTATAGTGTTATTGTGAATTCTAATTAATAGCGCATATATTCATTCATCACCTGAGAACTGATGTCTGTGTTACTGATCCTGGTTGCGTGCACTGAACTGAATATCACAAGTAGTGAATCTCAATCTATTTACTTATTTCTATTGTATTTTAATAGGTTTATAAGCCTTTTGTCCCAAAATAAATTCACAGTTCTCCCTGACCCAAAGTACTTCCTGTTAAAGCTGCCAAAACACAGACCTAATGTAAACACGAGCATCAGAGCCTTCCAGCTGCACTCTTCCTCTTTTCTTTTACTGTAGTTGTTCAGTGGGATTATTTTCCTCGCCAGTAAAATAAATGTTTGACAAAGGGCTCCAAAGCGAGGCTTACTTTGATCCTGGTTGAACTGCAGGCTGTTGACTCCTCTCTGCTGAGCCATAGCGGCGGTGCTAAAAAGCTCCCAACTGTAGCTTTATTTTCCACCCAATTAGAACCGAGGAGGAGAGACAGGCTTCACAGGTATGTTCAGCTTCCAGGTGACAGAAAGACAAACGGCCGCTGTCGATCCAACTGCGTCAGTAGCATCGGTTTCTGCGATGTAAACAAAAACAAAGCGCAGCTCTTCTGCCTCCTTCTGTCACTGTTGGCTTCTTGGAGCTTTGCTGCCACCTACTGGTCCGGAGGACTTGGGCTCTTTTTGAAACATAGACATAAATATTGCTGGAGCTATTTATTCATTTCTTTATCCATATGGATTCTGATAGTTTATTCTTAAAAGTATATTCTTGTATTATTTACAGAGTTTATTTGCAGGTTAATAATTGTTGACTTTCTTTTTTTGATATTTATTGATTTATTATTTTGTTCTGAGGTAAGACAGGAAGTAATGTAGGGACCTGGGAAAGGAATCCCATCTGGGTCAGAGAACCAACAGTTCAGCTAATGACAAGTTTAAAACTTCTGTAGCAGTGTCCCAAAATTGCAGAAGAATAATTGATTGTAAAATAGGAAATATTTATACTTTTCATGGTAGAAGTGATGAATTGTAGTGCTCAAAGAAAATGGAATAAATTAAAATAGTAAAAGCTGCAGAAAAGTATCTTGGAGTTAGAGATTTAAACAGGGAAATGGTTGAAAGTATGAAGGGAAAATGAGTAGGACCATCAGAGTGACAATAATTTAATGATAAATTAGAAATTATGAGGACAAATTTGATTCAGTATTTATGTTGGGTTAAATTAAACAGCTCAAAAATATTACATTTTTTTATTCATTTTTATTTAATTTTTTTCTGAGGGTTTTTTTTTTTTCGTTTCCTTATTTAACTCCTAATTGGTTGGTGGCAGTAATGTACTTTAGTTTTCTCAATGAAACACTACAAGAAAAAGGACCAGCAGGCATTTTGGGTTTGGGCTCTATGGTTTTTACCTGAGCAAGAGAGATAGTAGAAAGAACAAAGCGAAGTTTGAACTCTAATTGCTGGCTAAAAGAAAAAAAAAATCATCCAGAACAATTAAGTTTGGACATCGAACCTTTTTTAGCTCAACTTTACCTCTGCT